GATGCTCGAGATGGTTCAAGTTCGTATAGCAACAGGCGTGACCAGAGTGGTTTGAACGGCTGTTGTACTGCGATGTGGAAAGCAAATGGAAAAACTACCACATTATCACTTTTCCTGGATAGTCTCTTTCCAAAAACAGAAGATCACATTAAGTGGAGGAACTGTTTTGGAAGAGACTGTGGACCTGTCATCTGACAGTTACTGATCAAGCAATCAATCAATCATGCCCTGTAGCACAGTTTCTTCCTTAGCCATTAACACAAGGTCATCTGTATATTTCACAGTTTGAATAATTTGCCCTCCTAATCTGAAGTCTCCGAGCCCATCCAGAACTTCCTTGGTAAAGTATTCGCTGTACAAGTTGAACAGAATTGGCGATAAACAGCATCCTTGTCGAACTCCCCTTCCAATCATGACGTGTATATATAATTTTTAACAGGCAGTATAAAACAAGTATAGAATTTTTGAACATGTAGGCCTACACTGACACACCACAGAGACTCACGACACAGTAATATCATTTTCCAACTGAACACTTGCGGTTATAGTCCTCACGTAACATCCTCTTTGACGAGAGGATGAGTCTGTAATTTAAAATTGCTAGTGGTCCTCGTCAGCGCAGTCATTGTCAGGTCCGAGTCCCGCGAGAATCATGATCACATTTTACTGTCTCAAATTCGAGACTCCCCCAACCTGAACGGGCAGGTACCCGTATTTATATCCCTCCCGAACAGGGTGGCCCGGCTATAACCTGAGGCACTGGGTCACCTTTTCGTCACCTTCTACAACTCGCAGGGCTGCATTGGAGGTATTCGACCCCGCCTTCACATGGGCAAGAACTGTCGGTTATTCTGGGTTCCTCGTTATATAGCGTCGGAGAGGACTCATGGAAAACACCGTTTCCAGGGAAATGTGTTTGCGTTGCCCAGCAAAGGGTTGTTTGCCACGAATCTGTTACCCTAGCAATGGCATTGTCACTTTGATTTTCTTCCGCGGGAACGTATTTACTGAGCCGTTACCCAGTAATGGATGTCCCTTGTGACGTCAATATTCCGAATTTTGGGGGTCATGTCACAACATAAAATATTTCTCTAAGAAAAAGGAAATAAGGCAGTAAAGGAGGTAAACACTTTCCCTTTAGAAAAGAGAACGAAGAAAAGATTGTTTTTGGGTGCTACATGAGAAACATGACTGCTAACTAAATAACTAACTCCATGGAGTTGAATCCTTCTTGAGAAACCATCAGTTGCTTATTTACTCTGGAGTTTTTCAAAATTGTATGGAATCCGAAAGTTCATTACTGTGTCCACAAGAGCCAGTTATTGTCCCTATCCTAAGCCAGATGAGTCCAGTCCATATCACCCCATCCTATTTGTCTAAGATTCTTTTTATTAATATACTCCTACCTACCCTAGTGGCTTATTTCATTCTGGCTTTCCGCCAATATGCTGTATGCATTCATCTTCTCTCCATGCGTACAACTTACCAAGCCCATCCTATACTCTTTGAGCTCTTTCAGTCGATCATTCAAATTACGTATATTCGTATATTTTGTAAAGACCGAGGTACTTGACCCATACATTCGAAGAAGATTCTTTCCGGTCAAGAGGCCCTAAGGATTATGGTTTCTCTAACATAGATAGTGGCATGTGGTAAAATTCTGATTACGTAAATGAATATTCCCCTTAATGAAATTGCGAATGTGCAGCCGTATAATTCTCCATTGGTCTCTATGCTAATCGATACGGTAGCGAAGCTAAGTGAGCAATACAGTGAACGCAGAGGTCGGCAGTAGGAGCAGAGATTTTGACAACGTAGGAAATTTCGGAAATTTAATTTGTGGGGCTACCAGCATGTAATGGATTTCACCAATGAACTTCCCCCGGATGCGGTGTTATTATTAACTATATGTAACAGGTAGGCATCGAGATCTGTGTGCGTGTTCATACATAATACAAATTAATCAAATTAAATCTACAAACAAAAAAATAAAACTGCAATTTCCTTGGTTGTAGAGTAGTCACCACAGTGGCGATCTCAGGTTCAATAAAACATGTAATATCTGAGGTTTTCACGGCGGTGACTATGAAGCATGCCGTCTTCTGGATGGGATGCAGTGTAGATCTTGTGTGAACCGACGTTTCAGAGGAACGTATCGCCTTCATCCGCGAACGAGGAACCAGCTTGTCTGCAGCCACCTGTTCACGCTGGTTCCTTGCTCACGATTTTTCTTACCCTGAAGATGGAGACGATACGTTCCTCTGAAACGTCGGTTCACACAAGATCTACATGGCGCCACATCCCAGAAGACGGCATTCTTCATTAAAACATAATAAAGACATTGGTAGGCTACAATTATGACAATTCGTAAGATTATTATAATTCTTGATTGTATTTATGGAACCGTTTAAATATTCTGGGGGCTCGCTGTGTTGTTTCATTTACAGGGAAAGTGCTGAACTGAGAGCATTAAGGGCGATGACGGGAGATTTTCAAGCGTACGGGTAAGCGATATGATCAGGTTCCATGTGTCGTTGGGAAACGAGCAAATTCTGTCATGCTTTATCCTCTAAACAAGATCGGGTGATGGCATCTTCGGAGACGACGCTTCCGGATTCCATCAAGAAGGCTGTGACAGCACTCTTACGCCGCCTGAGCACAGACAGGACCGACACTGATCGTCTGCCGCACCGAAGGAAGTGTGAGTCGATGTTGGTGGTGATTGCGTTCGTATTGGTGACAGCCTCAAGTACGTTGTGAGATATGCTCCTATCCATCGTTGTGTTTGCAGCTTAACAGAAAATTGTGAATTCCCAAGGCATTTAATTATGTAATATCACTTTTTTTTTCACTGGAGCTACAGCCCTCATTTGGGCCTAGGCCTACCTCCATGAACTCCGTTCACTTCGGTTTACTAGATCTTACACATAAGGTAGGACTCCTTGGGCGGGTGATCAGCTCGTCACAAGGCCTCTACCTGTAGACAAACACAGAAAAACGCACACAAACATCCATGCCCTGAGTGGGATTCGAACCCACGATCCCGGCTTCCGAGCGAGCGAAGACAGTGCATGCCTTAGACCGCTCGGCTACCGTGACCGGCAATATCACATATACTTTTTACTATTGGGCTACTAGATTGTATTCAGTAGTTTACGCATAATTCTGCCGTTTAATGCAATCAATACAGAGGACAAAGTAACGCCCTCTAGCATATACACTGTCAATTCGCCACACTTAATCTCTCTCGTACATACATATCAGCGAAGAAACCCACCCACTGAA